TTTTTTTTTTTTTTTTTAATTTTTTAGGAATTTTACAGAAAAAAGTATTGGAAATGATTTTCAATATATTCAATTTATTAATTATAGTAAAATAGAGAGAAATTCGGAGTATCATATTTCATTGCAGAGTGTCTCAATAATAAGTACAAAATGTTCAAAAAAAATGCTCAAAACAGAACTTTTGCACTTATTCGGCTTTGTGTCTGAATATTTCGAGATATAATATGATAAAATGTATAATTGGTTTATATTAGTTAAATTTTATGGATTAGTTATAAAAAATATGTTAGCGGAACATGCTTTCATTGACTTTGAATGTTTTAACTGCGGTTGACCTTTCTGGAGAAATGCCCTTATATTAATTACTTTCGGTACCCATTTAAAGCCCTCGCACTTTTCGATTCATCCTCTTCATTAAACCTTAAATATTTCATGTTCTACTTCTCCAGTGTTCAATTCTTAGCTTAGTCTCAATTTTAAATTATTTATAGCCTCTAAAATACAAATAAATTATAATTGAAAGAAATAATATGATTCAAGGGCGGCAGTTGGAATAATTTAGCTTTGTAAGAGAGTTTATGTTTTTAAAGATTACAGAGGTAAGATTTTTGGTATTCGTTTCGTTTTCTCCGCCTATTTTATATGCTTCTGTCTCTCAGAGCTCATCGGCTTCATTATGTCAAATGAGCGCTCACAGATCGAGCACAAATGAGAAATTCACTTTCGTTCGATTAATGCAGACTCTCGTGAATCAACTGCTCTGAAAATGATCATACATACATTCATACCTACATATATAGAATTCAATATGAACAATAAAGTGAGCATTAATATGTTACTAGAATGCAATATACATTAATTAAAAATCATTTTTGTAAGAGCAACATTTATGTTGCTCACTGCTCTTGTGCTCACTCTCATTCTGAACACTCCCTCCATCTTTTCGCTAATTGCGCTTACTGCTTATAAGTATATAATATTATATGAACACTCAAGAAAGTCGGAAGTCAAGTTATGCAGGTAAAGCTTGTTCAGCAAATATATAGTGTGTTAAATTTATATGAACCATATGAAGCCGAAAGCCCTTATTTCCACAGCTTAGGTTTTAAAATAGTGTTGCATTTCTTATATTAGCTCTAATCTCTAATAAAGAAATCAATATAACCAGTCATTTATTTTGTTTTTAAGAATATTGTCAAATTTGTTTATATTGGGTGCAGATTTTATATTATTTCAATCAATTATACATTTTGCGACATATCTGTATAATATATATATTCTTATATTATTCACGATAAATGTCTATCGCAGGATCAGATCAATCATTTCAGTTTTTGCTTTAGCTTTAGATTTTGCTACCAGGTGCGGGTGGGTTGGCAGCAATCCATTTCAGAGCACGCTGGATTTCGTCGGGGATTGGGGGAGGAGTGGGCAGAGAATCGCTCTTGGGCTGGTATCCGTTCTCATCAGCCACATAGCTCACTTCGACCTTCACGCCCTCGGGGGAGACCCAGCCGAAGACGCCCTGGATATTGCCCTTCTCATCGCCGCTCTCCTTGCGACTGATGGAGTTGCTAGTCTCCAACAAGGCTTCAAATCCATCTGGGCGCACATCCTCCTTGCGGCTCAGCACTTCGGCCTTCAAATCATCGCTGACAACGATTCCCACGGCGGCGGCCATGCCGATAACAGCGCAGATTAACACCTAAGAGGAGTTCAACTCAGTTATAACTTATATCCTTGGCTAATCCTTGGTGTCCTTCACAGTACTCACAAGTTTGAACATTTTGACAATAGTACAGTTGTTGGATGTCGAGACGAGCTTTGACTGATGCTCCACTTAAGTTTGCCAACGGCTTTTATACAACTTTCTCTGCAGAATAAAATCGAATACCTGTAGAGAATTAGTTTATGTGAATGATATTGTGGCTTATGCAATAATTTTCGGCATTGCGTGCTATTTGTCGATATTAGGCATAATTGCTGAGTATTGATCATGCTTTGATCTCGTGCAAAAAGAACGAGTTCATCTGCACGAAACTTGTTTCAAATCAAATGAAATTATTTTAAAAATTTCTTAAAAAATACCGTAAATCAAGATTACGATATTAAAGTCGCTTCGAAGTGTTTTTAATAAAGAGAAAATCAAAAGAATAAAAAAAAATAATAATAATAATGGTAATAATAATAATTTAATAGAATTTCTTTAAAAATGCCGGAAATTAAGATTTCGAAATTAAAATCACTTCGAAGTGTTTTTAATGTAGAGAAATTATTATATTACTTTTCAGTAGTAAATGGGCTAGACAACAAAACCAGAAAGCGCGATTGTTTCAGTAAAACTATATAATTTATTATATAGGGAATTGCCTTACTTATGGGGTAACCTTCATATGGAATATACTGTATACTTTATACGATTAGAAAGTTTAGTCCATATAACTCTTATAATGCTCGATCTATCAAATCCATTAGAACTTAAATTCGTCAACAACAAAAACTATATTTCTTTACTTTTATTTAATTATAAATTTTAATCGAGAGTAAAACTGTTTAATATATAAATATATTTCATGGAAACGTTATATACAGTAGAGTCCGGCTATAACGACGCCCAAGGACCATAGGTATACCCGGGAGACGCATTAACCGTATAAGTTTGTTCATATAAGTTTGTCTGAAGACTAAAATTTTCATCGCAACAACCGTACGGACCTTATAGGCAGAGTCGTTTTAACCGAACTCTACTGTACATTCGTTCCATTTTCTCTCTTTCTTTCCATAATTCTGTCGCTCTCACAGCACTTCGGGCTCATAGCTCGGGCACAAATGAGAAGCTCGCCTTCGTTTCATTGCTGCACGTGAGTCGACAGCTCTGTAAAGTTATCTATATTGATAATATTATAAGCATATAGTAGAGCTAAGTCATTTAGGCATAAATAGGAAATTGTTTTTGGTGTTGTAAGAGCAAGATTTCTGCGCTCACTGTTTCTGAAAGTAGCTTTAATCAAATATAAATTCCCTTAAATTGGCTTAAAGTTATAAGAATAAAGTCGGCAGCTGATGAAATTTCCCAATTGAACGCTTTAATATAGTCATTCAGTCCAGACTTTGGATAACATTTTATTAAATGCTTTGCTGAATATTGCTAAATTTCTGATTGCAGACTTTATAATTCATTTTCATAAATTCTTATAATACATATGTTTGCGACATCTCTCTCTAATATGTATTCTAATATTATTCGAGATATATGTCTGTTATAGGATCAAATCAACCAGTTTGTTTTTGGCAGCCTTAGTTCTTGCTGTCAGGGGCGGGTGGGTTGGCAGCAATCCATTTCAGAGCCCGCTCGATTTCATCTGGGATTGGGGGAGGAGTGGGCAGAGAATCGCTCTTGGGCTGGTATCCGTTCTCATCGGCCACATAGCTCACTTCGATCTTCTCGCCCTCGGGGGAGACCCAGCTGAASACGCCCTGGATATTGCCCTTCTCATCGCCGCTCTCCTTTCGAATGATGGAGTTGCTGGTCTCCAACAAGGCTTCAAATCCATCCGGGCGCACATCCTCCTTGCGGCTTAGCACTTCGGCCTTCGACTCATCGCTGACTACGATTCCCACGGCGGCGGCCATGCCGATAACAGCGCAGATCAACACCTAAAACGGAGTTCAATTCAGTTATATCCTTGGTTAATCCTTGGTTCATCCTTAGTGTCCTTTGAAGTACTCACAATTTTGAACATTTTGTATATAGTGCAGTTGTTGGATGTCAAGACGAGCTTTGACTGATGCTCCACTTCAGTCTGTCAACGTCTTTTATACGGCTTTCTCTGCAACATAAAATATAGCACCTGTGCAGAATAATCACACTTTATAGTATGTGCTATCATCAGTTAATGTGCATCAATTTGTAGCTTATGCAATAATCTTCAGCATTGCCTGCTATTTTTTGGGTTTAAGAATGATTACCTACTATTGATCATGCTTTGGTCTCGTGCAAAAAGAACCAGTTCATCAGCACGAAACTTGTTTTAAGCCAAAAGAAATTTAAAACCTCTTAAAAAATACCTCAAATCAGGATTTTTACTCTCGTTACCAAGGTCATATGAATGAGTTTATATCGGAGGAAATTTAAAATTTTGATGAACTTCAATCTAACTTGTACTATTTATAGGACCCGTTTACTCATTTGAATATTTGAGTTAAAGAGAATTTGTATTTAAGAGAGTTTTAAAAGAGATGAGAACGGTAAGATTTAAATTTCTCCTGCTCTCTATTTATGTCGTCTTATTAAGAACACTTTGAGTTTGGAGCTCGAGGAGGTCGGTCGTGTTTTTAGTTAAGCGAGGCCAGATGGAATAAACTGTTCCTATTTCATAAAAATCAATAAGTCGCTTGATCAGAAAAGAAAAGTCTATGAAATTGCTGCGATCTTATTATGCGCATAGACAGAATTTAAGATCAGTATATTACAGAGGCTAACTATTGAGAATGTATTACAATATGAATATAAGGGGATGTATTCTGGATTAATTCTTCATAATTCCTAATTCCTCAGTTTGATTTATCTGTACATAGTGGCAACTGTACCTATCTGTTTTACTAAACGACTAAAGAGGGATAAGATGATACATATGATTTATCAACATAATACAACAAGTAAGAAGGCTCCAGTCGAGACTGCTCGACTAGGAGATACCCTGAACCCTCCAAGCTGATATTCTAATCAGTCTGGACTTCTTTTATGCACACATACATACACATGCACTTATAAGCACGTGCTCTGCTGACTGCGCAGTTAGCAGCGACTGCGCTTGGGCTGCGCTGCAATGTGGGCAATAATATGAGAAT